GCGCGCGTGCACGAGGACGCCGCCGGCCCCGTTCCAACCGAACCGGTTGGAACGGGGCGAGAAACCCACCCCTGGGGTGGGCATGCGAGTGTGGTGCGTGAAGATGAAAAGGTGAGCCACCACTGCACTAGTGTATAAAACAAGAGCAAACCCCACTTCCCCACCCCACTAAGCACTGATGACGTTGCCTAGTTCGGTAACGAAACATCTGCCAGAAAGCAACCAAGCTGAGAGAGCACCGAGGCCCTCTTGTTTCAACCCTGAGCTACAAACAGTCTCCTCTATTGTTATCTCTGTCTCTCTCTCTCTCTCTTTGCTCCCCACCCTCACCCTGGTTCCCATTTGGCCTGCCTCCAGATCTGCCCACCCCAACGAAGAATGAAGATCCAGAGGCCAAGAGGGAACGCCTCTACCGGCTGACCCAGTCCTACGTGGAGATGAACCACCGCCTCCAGAAGGCCTGCAGTCTGCTCAAGGAGAAGTGCGAGGAGCTGAAACTGGCCGGAGCCACCCTGGAGCAGGGCATTTTAGAGATGAAGCAGAGGGCTTTGTGAGATACTTTTTTGGGGGGGCGGGAAGTGACCACAGTCGAGTTTGACCCACGTTCCCCCACCTCCCCACCCCCCCACCACCCCTTGCAGGATCCATGCCGTGCTTGGGGGGGGAAAAAAAAACTAAGGACTCGCCATTGTGATGTGATTTCAGCATGCCTACGCTACACATCCTCAACACTGTCTGTGTTTTCGGTTCCGTGAATTGTGTGTCCAAGCCAACCGCCCGCTACAAAGCCTCTTGAGGGGCCCGGATCTCTTCGCTGTGCTCACGCTGAGATGCCCAGTTGTGCAGTTAGCGTTGTTTTTCTTGTTTTGGCCCTAAGTTCACTGTCGCTCTTAGTTCTCCGCAGCTCCATTGGCCCTCGTTCTGTTTCCTTCACACAGACGTTCAGAACAAAACCACCTCTCTTTGGGGAAAGCTGACCGGAAGTTTCCACAGAGTTCACACACACAAACACACACAGATAGGCTGGGACAAGTGGGCTTTGTGGGAGGGGTGGGGTGGGTGGGGTGAGAAGACCAGCACTTGCCCCAAGGGGCAGTTCCCCCCCCCATAAGTTTTTTTTTATGCCATGACATCTCCTTCATTCCAATACGATTTCTCCCTCTGGTACTGCCTGGAAGACGATGCCATTGCCACCGCTATCCGCGAGATGCTGGTCGCCTGCGGTTTCCATGGCTATGTTGAACATCAGGACCACGTGGCCGGGAAGCCGGTGTTGGCCTCCGTGAACGAGATCATCCAAAGCAGCCGACTGGCCATCGTCCTCTTGACCTCCCATTCAATGACTGACCTTTGGTGCCAGCGCATTTTGGAATGGAACCTGGTCCACACCGTACACCAGAAGGGAGTGAAGGTCATCCCGGTTTACGTGGACATCACTCCGGAACAAGTGCCTCCCACTTTGAGACACCTGACCGGACTCAGATACAGCGAGAGATACTTTAGGAAGCGGCTGCTCGACAGCTTGAAGAAGGCCAGAGCTTCCTGCTGTGCCAGCACCACATGCTGAATACCACCATTGGGCTTCTGATGGACTTGAGAAGTAGACTTGGGGAGGGGGTGGTCGGGCGGGGAGGGGAGATGGCCGAGGCAGCTTGGTCATTCCATTTGGACCATTCACCAGAAGTGTTTCCGATTCATTTTGGTGTTTGACATAGGCCCCATTGTGTTGTGGGTGATAACCGTAAAAATGGAACCCCCGTAGTTGTAGTAGTAGCACCTAGAGCTGATGTGTAAGAAGGCCTTTAAAAACAAACCTTTAACTGTTTGGGAAGAGAGGCAGGGAAGGGGAGGGGGCACATGTTCGTTGTTTGTCTGCTACTAAAGGGGTGAGGGTCGGTATAGAAAGCCAAGCCAGGTTCCCAAGACTGCTGGTTGTGATACTTGACTTAATTTAAGGAGCTCTTATTAAAAAGCAGTTTTTGGACAACTTGTGAGCGTGTGACCTGTCTCCGTCTCGAGCTTTGCGGGCAAACTACCGTATATACTCGAGTATAGGCCAACCCGAATATAAGCCGAGGCACCTAATTTTACCACAAAAAAACTGGAAAAGTTA